GGACCAACTGGTCCCTCTTTTGATTTCTCTTACCTACTTATACCTTGTAAATACTTTCGGGGACCTCAGTCTGAAATCAACTAGAGTACCCCCCCTGTTCTGGTCTGAGTCCCTCCTTCTGCAAAGGGGGCTTCCCCCCCCTCTGAGTCCGTGCTCATGGAGTCCATGCTCCTCCTACAGTTCCGCTCTGCCTGCAAGTCTTGTTTGAAGTCCACTGTAAGTGTCAGTCTGTAAATATGGGATCTCCCCCAAATGTCAAGCTCAGGGCACAGTGTTCCACCTGAGTTGCTGAGGCCACGATCCCACTCTGCTAACCTTGAACAGTGCTTCCGGACGCACTGCATATTTCCGCCCACATATCCATGCGTGCGCTCCAACAGACCTCTGCATCACCTCCGACCTCAACTCAGACAGAACCCAATCCGTCTTCTATCTGCCTTCTGACAGTGTTCCAACTCTGACAGTCTGCCTGACTCCAACAATATTCCAGTCTCTGACAGTGTGTAGTGATACATAGAGAAGGGGAAGTCGACCATGGAACAGAAATAGAAAGAAAGAAGGGAAGGGGAAAGAAGAAACAGGGAGTGATAGTGGGGGAGTGGAGTAGGGTGGCGCAGCGTGGGGTCAGGTGGGGTGTGCCCTGACAGGCACAACTTGAGGGCAACTATGACACCCTCTCAGCGGATGGCCCAGGAGGCCCATGACCCAGGGACAGAGCCTGTGCCGTTTGAGATGCTGGTGCCAGGACACTACCAAGACTTCCAGGACCTGTTCTCAAAGGAGGCCTTTGACCAGCTGCCCCCCCGAAAGCCTTGGGACCATGCCATAGACCTGGTACCGGACGTGAAACTACCCAGAGGGAAAACCTTCCCCCTCTTGCAACCTGAACAGAAGGGGCTGGACAAGTTCTTACAGGAGAACCTACAGAATGGACACATACAGCTGTCCAAGTCCCTGATGGGAGCACCAGTCTTCTTCGTCAAGAAGAAGGATGGGTAGTACAGGACTACTGGAAGCTGAATGAGATCACAGTGAAGAACTTGTACCTGCTCCCCCTCATCTCAGATGTTCTCGCCCACCTCCGCAATGCCAAGTACTTCTTGGCCTTGGACCTACACTGGGGGTTCATGTCATATCCATACAATCCCGACCTCCACTCCGGGCTCCCGGAACTCCGAAACTGACTCCAGAGCCCTACTTCCCTTCCATCACCTTCTCCTTGCCAACTCCCAAGAGGTTATCCCACCCTCCGGCTCTGACACCACCTTTGGTCCGACTTTGGAACATTCCGGGTCTGACCTCAACCTCGACACCTTCCAGACGAGCATGCAACACCTATGCTCCCAACTCCAGACCTCCGCTCCGGAATCCCGTTCACATCTCCGTCTCCACAACCTCCAGTCTTAGCTCCGACCTCGGACTTACCTTGCAACTATTGCATTGCTCCATTCAATTCCGCTATTCTCCCTCATTCCTATTTGGGCTGCTGCTTCCTTTCTATTCAGTCAGCTGGCCATTCCCCACTCCCATCCTCCTTCCTTCCTCCTTGGGCCTTGGCCCTTCACTCCTTCTTTGGGAAACACCATTGAGTCAAACCCTTGACCCTCGGTCTTGTTCCTCCTTCCAGCTCCCTTTGTCCCCTTTCGGAGTACCCTTGCTCCTTTTGATTCTGGACCCCTCCTTATATACAATGTACATAGTAACTTGTAACCTCAGTCCGAAATCGACTTGATTTCCCCCCAAGAGACTTCCCCTCTGCTAGATCCGAGACAACCAGCAATGGCACAGCACTCTGCCTGAGTCACTGAGGCCAAGGTCCTTCCATGCTAAGTCTCCGATTCCACTCTGGAGTCGTCTGAATCCACCCAATCTAACAGTTCAACAACATCCGGGCCAAGGATGGGGATGAGTGGAAAGCAGCGGTTGTGACCAACTGAGGGCTGTTCAAGCCCATGGTGATGTTCTTTGGCCTATGCAACTCCCCTGCAACCTTCCAAACTATGATGAACAACATCCTCTGGGACTTCATCAACTGGGAGGTCGTCATCTGTTATATGGACAACATCCTCATCTTCACCACGACCCTGGAAGAACACCGGAGGGTTGTCTGAGAGGTCCTAGAGACACTGTGGAAGAGAAAGCTCTTCCTGAAACCTGAGAAGGGTAAATTCGAATGGACATGGATCGAGTACTTAGGGCTCATCATTTCTGAGGGTAGCATGGTGATGGACCCTGTGAAGGTCCGTGGAGTCCTTGACTGGCCGGTTCCAACCAAGGTGAAGGAGGTGCAGTCCTTCCTAGGGTTTATGAACTTCTCAGAGAAGGCATGCCCACTCCACAAGCTGACCTGGAAGACCCAACCCTGGAGCTGGGGCCTGGATGAGGACGGTGCCTTCCAGGCCCTTAAGGAAGCTGTCACTACTGCCCCCACCCTTCAAGATCACCAAAGTCATCTCCCCCACCACCATCAAACTCCAGCTCACTGCACAACAAAAAGGAATCCACCCAGTTGTATCTGTGATGAACATCAGGCCACACTGCCCCAATGAAGGGGTGGAATCCCCCACTGACCCCTGCCTGGGCCCAGACCTTGTAGATGGAGAGGAAGAGTAGGAGGTCGAAAAAATTCTGGACTCTAGATGGCAGCACCAAAAACTCTGGTACTTGGTAAAGTATATGGGCTGGCCAAACTCAGAGAACCAGTGGCTCATGTGTGACCACCTGACCCATGCCCTGTCAGGGCACACCCGCCTGACCCGGCTCCACCCAGGCCCACCCAGGCCCACCTCACCTGCTCCCCCATTACCCATCCTTCTCCCTCCTCCTTCCTCCCTCTTCTCCTCCTTCTCTCTCTTTCCTCTTCCTCCTCTGTTTCATTCCCCCTTTCTGTTTATTCCTTCCATTTACATGGACCACTTTCCTTTGTATAATTGTACTGTTAACCTGTCCAGCTCAGACACCCCAGACAACTTCCCACTACGCCTAGCATGTGCGCCTGCAGTGGACGCCCTCAGGATCCCCCACAGGGACACCTGGATGGCTGCAGCTCTCTCTGAGGATGACATGGCACCCATCATGTGACCCAAGCCACATGTACATAAATGTACCTGAAGTGGGAACTGAAGAAGTAACCTTCTTCTCACATTTTCCACTTCAGTCTAAGTGGCCAGGGACTACAGTCCCAGATCGGGCCCATCAGCACACATGCCTGCTTCGCTCCCCAAGAGGGTCCCTCTGCCAGGTGTTACATCCAGGCCCCCTCCACCCCAGACATGTCCCTGACAGCAGAAGAAGGTTTCAACCTCATCTCCCCCACCTCCCCCATCTCCCCTGCCTCCCCAGCCATGGTGTCAGAAGAGCAGTATGAGGAGCTGCTAGCTCGCTTCCAAGAGCTCCAAGCCATTGTGGAGAGCCAGGCCCGCAACCATCCCCCACCCCCACCTGCACCAACACCCACTCCCATGCCAGCCCCTGCACCAGCACCCGCTCCTGCACCAGCCCCTGCACCTGCACCCACACCCACACCCAAACCACCCAAGGTTGCCCCCCTTCTCAGGAGCCAGCAAGGACCTTGACTGCTTCAAGGCCGAGTGTGGGATTTACTTACGTTCACACAGCTGAATTCCCCACTGCCCTCTCCCAAATCCTTTTTGTGTTGTCTTACATGAAAGGAGGACCTGCAGGGGCATGGGCAATGCAATGCACAATCACATTGCTGACAGCTGGCTCCCCCTCCCTCACCATGGACAAGTTCAACACTGAACTCGATGCCATGTTCCAGGACCCGAACCGGGAAGCCACGGCCAGACAGAAGCTGGCAGCCAAGCAACTCTGTGGACAAAGTTATCCAAGAGTTTGAGATACTGGGACCCACCTCAAGCAGTAACTTGCAAAAAGTGTAATGGCGGTTCATGAACTGTCATGGAAGTCATGACATTTCATGAATGGTCACCAAACTTCATGAAGCAGCATGAAGTGTCATACACAGTCATGCTGGTTCATGACAAACTGTCATGGAATTTCATAAGATGTCATGAACCTGCATGGGGGGTCATGATTGCCCATGACTTAAGTGGTTCTTCCAGGCAGGTTTTGAGTAGTTACATGCAACCTCTGGATGCATATGACTTAGCTGTGAAGCATAGCCTCCAAACCAAGCATTCAACTGCTCTGCAGCCTCTGTATTGAAAGCACGCTGAAACTGAGCTTGTTGACTATTTCCATCTTGAATAGGAAGAACCAAATTTGGGTCATCTTTGACTTGAGGGGTTGGATTGCAATATTTCTGGCATGTAGGGTCATTGTGGTGGTTCCTGAAATGGAAAGCATCAACCAGAAAACGGGATGTTTGAAACCATCTGTGATGCTGTCCTTGGCTCATCAGTGTAGCCAGGATTCTACATGCCTTATCAATCACAATGTATGATGGCTGGGAGTCTGGGTCTGGAAAGACTTCTTCAAGTGTATGAAGAACATTGGTTGGTGTCACAACCCGACATATCTGACACTTCCCTCTATGCTACTTGGCCTGTCCCTCCCGCTACCATCATCATCCGTCCACCCATCCGTCCACCCGTCACCCTCATCCGCACTTCCTCCCTCACGCGCATACCTTCCAACCTAGGTTGCCCGCTTCATTGTTGTCCGCCCCCAGCCAGATGGCTTGCTAGACGGCCGGATGGCCTTTTCTCTTTTGTCCGCTTGCGGACTATTGTTCCTCCTATTGTTCCTTGCTTGCCTTTTGTTGACCAAGTTTGCCGATATTGATTATTTGTTCCTTTCTTCATTCATTAATATCGCGCTTGATCCGCCACTCCTTCTGGGCCGCTCTCATTTAGTTACTTGTGTTTATAACACGTGTAGGTCACACCGGATGTACCTCAGTTCGTATATCGACTTGGATTCCCCCTCTAAACTCTTATCCTCATCATAAGGCTTCTGTCTGAAATTGGGACACCAACGTAAGAACGAAGCGCAGCGCTCCACCCGAGTCGCTGAAGCTAAAGTCCCGCCCCTCCGACCTTATGAGCCTGGACGACCTCGCGCACTTTGTGGGTCACCCAGATACGCATCTGGCACGTTCCTGACAGTTGGGCTTTCAGACACCATATATTTAGTCCAAGCCACAATACAACCACATGGATGGGTGAGAGTTTCAAGGCATGTCTATATTGCCATGTGTGCTGCCCATGTGGAGTGGATTGGGATGATGCACTTGGAGATGGTGCCTCACCATCATGATGATGATGTGGAATGACTTGCTCAGGATCCTCTGGAGCAGGTAGGGCTTGCTGAGCAGTGCGGTGAGCGTTCATAACCCATTCCTCTGTTGGGGATGAAACTCCAAGAAGGCCTTGTCCTTGTTGGTTCCATATGACCCAGCGATATGCTCCATATGACTCCTTATCATGTGTTCTAGAGAATGCCTCCCAGCGTTGTTGATGGTCAGGGAGACTACAAGCACCAGAGTTCAAGGGGGCTGTTACACGTGAATTCTGACAAGAGACTATGCCACATAAATGGCCCCTACTCCTTTCATGTTCTGCACAGAGTTTCTTTGAGTGAAAATTAAGTGGAAGGTTAGGGCATTTAGGCATTGCACAAAGGCAATGTCCCATGCAAATGCCATCCACCACAATCATATCAACCTCCTGATCATCATTAATTGTCACTTGCTGGTTGGAAGGAGTTAGCAAGGGAAAGTAAAAATAGTAAGTAGATCACATACTGCAGTTCCATCTTGCAGGGATCAGTATGGGTGGAAGCACTGAGCACACTGATGAGCAAGTGCACCTTGGATTGTCTTGACAGCTCCAGGGAAAATTTTTTCTTGCATCTTTGAAGCCAAAGCTGTGATGCTTGTGTGTGATGGAAGAACAAGCTCATGATTGGTAGCTTTGCACAACTTGAGGGACTCATGTAAGACAAATAACTTCCATGCATGCTTTGGAAGGAGGGAAATCTTATCCTTCCCATATCGCTGTGAATAGAATGATGCAAAGCCCTCAGATGACATATGTGCAGTATAACATAGATTGGACTGGGTTTGAGCAACTTGCCAATTAATCCAGATATTACCTCCAATGCGGAGATAAGCTGCATCAGGATTAAAGATATTGGTAAGTTTCCCATTGATGGAGGTGTGATAGCGATCTGGAAAGTGAGATGTATTGCAGGACTGGCAGTTTCCCTGTGCAAGCTGGCCAATGTAGACACCATTATCCTCCAAAATCCATATATCCACACATTGTCTAGTTTGCTTCAACCATCCACCACACACTTGGCAGTCAAAATAACTGGGTCCTAACAGGGTTGGTTGTGGATGAATGAGGTGTGGGTCTGAAAGGAATTCATGTGAAAGCCCAAGTCCATTTGCAGCTTCAAGGATAAGATAGTTCTGGGTCTTTTGGTCCAGTTGAGGAAGGGCAAGTGAGTCCTGGGAGAATAGGTGGGCACTGAGACAACGTATCCATGAAGATGGAAAGTCGGGATTAAGGGTTGCTTGGGATTGGAGATAATGGTGACGGAGATATTCCCCATTGCACAGGATGAAAATAAGAATAACAGCCATAGCATAGCCTGTGATCCTTGGAGTTGCTGAGGTGAATGTCTCTGCAAGGCCCATTGCAGTTGAAGCATACACCATAGGCAGGAAACACAGGAGTACAAAGACATTGAAAACATTCCTCAATTTGAAAGGTAGGTACACATTGGATTTCCTAATGTTACAATCATTCTGCTCAAAAATTTGATTGAGAAATGACAAACTGAGAATTACTTATTCTGGTTTGGCTCCACCCCATTTGCCTTGAGATACTTGAGATATGTGATGATTTCTTGGAGGCTATGAACCTTTGTCTCAGAGTTTGGATCATCATATGCATACTTGAGGTCCTTGACTGGTTCATTGTCCCATACTGATTCAAGACGACATGCCTGAGGGTTGTTCTGGAACTCCATGTAGGTACTGTAGATGATAAGATGGCGAGCAACAGTACTGTCACTACAGGAAGTCACAGTGATATAGAGCTCTCAGAGGGGGACAGCCTTTCCATGTCCAGGAAAGGAAGCAGGGATAATTGGAACAGATTGAGTGAACTCCTTCACAATTGCTAGCATCTCATAAATGCTGCGAGCTGTTGTACAGTGAGAGTCCTTCAAAGCATTGAATTGGGCCTGCTTCTCCATGGTTTGCCGCACCTTCCAGAGGTTACTGAGTTCCCCAAGGGAAGCCTTTCCAATTGTGGCAGAAGGGGCTGGTTCAGTAGGTGGTGTATATGGGATAGTGGGATTCATTGGATTGGGGTGAGGAATAGAGGGGCCAAGCTGAGTAGTTTGGGTAAGAGTGGATGTTGAGTTATAAACGTAAATAATCCTTCAATGTTCATGAAGAATATGGATACGATATGTCCTGCAAGAGTCGCTCTCAACTTTTTCAAGTTGAATAGTGTCTTCGCCATCCAGGTATGAGATATGAGATTCATCTGAGTAAATCATTGGGAAAAAAATGAAACTTTGGGTTTATGACAGCTAGAGATAGAAACTCACTTGTAATCCGATCAGTACCTAGATACTCCTGGGCAGTGGAAAGAATATCCTGCATCAAGACACTCCATCCATCCACTTCAACCTGAGTGGATGGCCAAGCGGCATGGCTACAGGGGGAAATTACATTGTTCCATGGAGATGACCCAGGACCAATGAATTGGATTGTAACTTTCAATCCTAATAATGGGAGAGTTAATTCCTGGATAATGGGAGCATTTATTAACATTTAACATACCACTCAAAAGCTGAATAGTATCTTGTTCTTTGTTATCTTTGTCCTGTTTGTTTCTGTCTTCATCAACATCCTCATCACTGCTGGGGATATCGAACTCTTCAAAGTCACCAGTTGCATCATCTCTGCTTTCAGTGTCCACTGCACTTGGAGCAGTATCCTGTAATAATAAGGGTTTACTCTCAGGTATGTATTAAGTAAGTTAAAACTTACCGAAATTTGAAGAGTTGATTTGGACTTTGCTGATTCAGACATGGAGTCAGAAATTGCAGTGACTCCCTCAGCAAAGTGTGTTTGCTGAGTAGCACCCTTCCCTTTGGAATCCTATCCGAAGGGGTTGGGAGTTGATTTTTTAACATTATTTTTGCAAAGAAAAATTGGCTCACATCTTGTTTTCCCCTCTTTCTTCCTGCTTTAGCTGCCTGGACTGTAGAGGAAGGTGCAGTAGGGACTTTTGGTTCTGGGCTTGCAGCCCGTTTGCGAGTTCGACCTGGAGGGGCAATGGAGGGGCCCGGTACCGGGTCATTATCATTATCACCTTCAGCCACAGTCCCAGTCCCAGTCTTAGCAGCTGCAGAGGTCTTCTTAGTGTTTTGTCGCTTAGAGCCACTAGCCAAGGTCGAATCCTGGGCCTTCTTCTGGCTGCCTGAGGCTGGGGTGGGTTTAGGGGCTTGAGGAGCCCCTTTGTCACGAATCCTGGTGCTCCTACGCTGCCCAGTCTCTGATTGTTGACCAAAAGGGTGAGCCATGAGAGGTGATTGATATTCAAGCCCAAATAAAGCACAGTAGGGTGCAGTGATAGTTGTGTGAGTGTGAGGTGGTAGCAAGCGCAAAAGTTTAACACAGCCACATGATGTCACATGACAGTTCATAAGCGCTTGTGACATCTCATGCATATTCATGCATGCTCATGACCCATCATACATGTTCATGGAGCATCATGAATGTCCATGATGCATCATGGAACATTATAGGAATTTACACGATGAGGAAAAGTCAAAATAAACATATGACACTCCATGACCCATCATGTCAAATTGTGTCACCAGCCATCATGAACCTTGTCAGCACATGACGGTTCATGACAGTTCATGACAATTTGTCATGGACTGTCATGAAATCCAAATTTTTGAATGTAAAAAATGTCTGATTCAATTCAATTGTCATGACATGTCATGACACCTCATGATTTCGTGATGCAGGATTACACTTTTGGAGAGTACCTCACCTCGAGGCTGGGCGATGTGGGACTGGTTGACCGTTTGGAGCAGGCCATCAACTCCTGCCTCCAGGAGAGCATATACCAGCTCTGCCCCATGCCCACTACTTGGGCAGAGTGGAAATGCGAGGCCACCCTCCTGGACAACCACTGGTGATGCTTCCAAGCCACCTGTCACGGCCGTGCATTCCAGCCCATTAGCTGCCCATCCTGATGCTGCACGAGCCCATTCCCACTATGCGAGTGTGAGTGCAAGCCCCAACCTCAGCCCTATCCTCCCTGAGGACTCCCTGCTCACTCCCCCACTTGCCCCTAGGCTCCCCTGCACCTGGCTGACTCCCCCACAGCCACACTGACCTTCCCACCCTGAGTCCGCCTCCGGCACTGCACCCAGCGCAACTCCTCTACCCCGCCCACTTGGCCCCTACAGGGCTGCTACCATTCCCACACCCGACTCCAGCCCAACTCCGAGTCCAGCACCGCTACGATACCATCACTGCTATTGCAGCCCTATGCTCCTTCCTTTATTTATCTGTTATTGTTTGTTTTGACCCTCGGTCATTGCTGGCTACTGTGTGGCCAACCCCGCTCTTTGTTCCCTTTTGCTTCCGGACCCTTTGGCCTTCGGCCCGGGTCCACTTCCATTCATTCTTTCTCCCTATATATATCCTGTATGTTACTTTATTGTACCTTAGCTCTAATATCGATTTGACCATGACCCCTCAAGTCCTGACCCCAACAAGGCAACCCCAGTAAGTCTGAAATGAGGGCCAAGAGACAGCTGGGGGGCACAGTGCTCCTTTAGAGTCGCTGAGGCCAAATGCCCTACCCTTGGGCCTTGTTTGCAGCATCATGGCCCACAACAGCAACCTTCGGTGCCGACCCTGGACCAGTGTCTAACACCACCCAACCACATACATTTCCACCCAAACCCCTGCTCCCATCAACCCAACCCCTGTTGACCATGACTCCACCTCACGCACAACCCACACACACACCCCCTCGACCCACACCTGCACCTGCACCTCCTACCCCAGCAGCCTGCCCCACAACAGGAGTGGGCCCACAGCCAATGGATCTCGACTGCTTGAGAACTGACCAGAGGTGGTGTTACAACTGTAACACCCCAGGGCACATCCTATGAGACTGCCCACACCCCAGGGTCCACCGGGCGTGACGCCTCCACCCTGAAGACCTTTGAGCACTGATGGAAGGGCTGAAAAGGCAGTTGACTGAAGGACCAGAGGCAGAGGAAGCAGAGCTGGAAACAGAGACTCAGGGGGATTTTCAGGAAAGCAACCGGTGAGGGGTGCGTCCCGGCTGCCCTAGAGGATAGCTCATGTAAATACCGCAGCATGCATAAGTCAGTGCCAATGCCAAAACTTTACCGAGTTATCACAAAGAAAAAGAGGAAAACCACATCCTCAACCTGTGAGAGTAGAAGGACCACAGAGGGAATGCCTGAAGTGGCAGTATCCCCACCCACTATCTATGTTCTTTCCAAGCAATCCCCCAGATCCCTTAACCTCACAGTCAAACTGACCACTCTGACCTCACTCACATCAGTGTCTGTATCAGCCCTCCTGGATTCAGGGGCCACCGGGAACTTTGTGGGCCCCGAATTCATCTGGAAGCACAAGCTCGAGATGACCCCACTCCCACAGCCTATCCCTGTCTGTAACGTCGACAGGACCCCAAATGAGAATGCAGCCATAACTGAGGAGCTAGAAGCCCTCCTGACATTTGGGTGGCACACAGAGCGAGCCTGCTTCGCAGTCACAGGCCTTCGGTGGCAATCCCTTATCATAGGTCACTCATAGCTGCTACACCACAACCCAGAGGTAGACTGGGCATGACAGAAGGTCGTCATGTCCCACTGCCCATCCTCCTGTAGACAGCCACAAGCATGAGATGACCAAGACCCTGCCCTAGAGCCTGGGGATGGGATCTACACTGCAATCATCCCCCCGGGTTGGGGACATGACCTAAGAGCCACCACGACCCCTTCTCAGCGGATGGCCCAGGAGGCCCGCAACCTGGATGCAGAGCCTGCATCATTTGAGACGCTGGTGCCGGAGCACTACCAGGACTTCCAGGATGTATTTGTCAGGGACAGCTCCGAAAGCGGCGAGGTCCCGGGGTGCGGGACTTGGGGGGACGGATAGCGGCTATGCGTAGCGGCGATCCCGTCGCGGGGTGAGCGTCCCTGACCACTTAGTCTGAAGTGGAAATGTGAGAAGAAGGCTACTTCTTCGGTTCCCACTCCAGGTGTTATTATGTATATACAAGTGGGAATGGTCACGTGGGGTGTGCCACGTCACCCTTGCACACAGCCACGGCTCTCCGGGTGCTTCCGTGGAAGATCCCGAGAGGGCCCGCTGTGGGTGCAAGGCGAGTGCGGTGGCAGTGGCAGCGGTATAGGGATGTAAGATACAGGTGTCAGGGACCGACCCGGGGTCGAGAGCGCCCGGGTGTATCGCCCGAGGCTGAGGGTCCGGTAGGTATGACGCGGGCACGCGTAGCAGCGGGCCCGAAGCAGACAAGGGTCCCTGGCCACTAAGACTGAAGTGGGAAATGTGTTATTGTCATTATCAAGGGAAGTGTAAGCTACTTGCCTGAAGTGGGAAATGTGAGAAGAAGGTTGCTTCTCAGTTCCCACTTAGGCTGTGTTTATATACATGTGGTTGAAGGCCACGTGGGAAGCGCCACGTCATCCGAGCACACAGCCACCTCCATCTGGGTACCTCCGTAAGAGGTCCTAGGAGCGTCCGGTGTGCGGGGGGTCGTCCGGTGTGTCCGGGTTCGGGCGCGTTACACTGCAGCCGGGTCAATGGTACATTGATACAAAGGAAGTCGTCCGTGTGATAAGAAAGGAATAAAGAGGAGAGAGAATAGAAAAGAAGGAGAGGAAGGAAGGGAAGGGAGAAAAGGGGAAGAGGGGGGAGGTCGGGAGGAGTGGATGGTGGGGCACCAGGTTAGGTGGGGCCGGGTCATGTGGGCGTGCCCTGACAACAGGAGGGGAGATGGGCGTGTGCACCGGTGATACATTGAGCGGGGGGAAAGGTGGTCCGTGTAAGAGAAAGAGAGAAAGAAAGAAAGGAGGAAAGGAGAACAGGAGAAAGGAAGAGGGAAAGGAAGGAGAGGCGGTGCGGAGCGGGGATCGGGCAGGGCATGTCGGGGCATGCCCTGACAGTATTCTCGAAAGAAGCTTTCGACCAGCTTCCCCCCAGAAGCCCTGGGACCACGCTATAGACCTGGTACCAGACGCCAAGCTACCCAGGGGAAAGACCTTCCCCCTCTTGCAGCCGGAGCAGAGAGAGCTGGACGAGTTCCTGCACGAGAACTTGCAGAACGGGCACATACGACCGTCTAAGTCTCCAATGGGGGCACCAGTCTTCTTTGTCAAAAAGAAAGATGGGTCACTACGCCTAGTACAGGACTACTGGAAGCTGAACGAGATCACTGTAAAGAACTCATACCCACTCCCGCTTATCTCAGACGTCCTTGCCCACCTCCAGAGCACCAAGTATTTCTCTGCCCTGGATCTGCACTGGGGGTTTAACAATGTCCGGATCAAGGATGGGGACGAGTGGAAGGCAGCGTTCGCAACCAACTGAGGGCTGTTCGAGCCCATGGTAATGTTCTTCAGGCTGTGTAACTCCCCCGTGACCTTCCAAACGATGATGAACGACATCCTCAGGGACTTCATAGACTGGGAAGTCGTTATTTGCTACATGGACGATATCCTCATCTTCACGGCTACCCTGGAGGAACATCAGAGGATCGTCCAGGAGGTCCTGGAAACGCTGCAAAAGAGGAGGCTCTTCCTGAAGCCAGAGAAGTGCAAGTTCGAGCAGACCCGGATCGAGTACCTTGGCCTCATCATCTTGGAGGGTAGCGTTGCAATAGACCCCATAAAGATCCGTGGAGTCCTTGACTGGCCCACCCCAACCAAGGTGAAGGAGGTCCTTCCTGGGGTTCGTAAATTTCTACTGCCAGTTCATCAAGGACTTCTCTGAGAAAGCACACCTGCTCCACAAGCTGACCTGGAAGACCCAGGCTTGGAACTGGGACACAGATGAAGACAATACCTTCCACGCCCTCAAAGAAGCTGTCACCACCACCCCAGTTCTCTCCTTCCCCACTGACTTGGGCCGCTTCAGTGTCAGGGAGTGACCTGGGGTTGAGAGTGCCCAGATGTGTCACCCGGCACTGAGACCCAATAGGGTGTAGCATGGGTGCACATACGAACGGACCCAGCACAAAAGGGCATCCCTGGCCACTTAGGCTAAAGTGGGAAGTGTGTTATTATTATTAGCAGGGGAATGTAAGCTACTTGCCTAAAGTGGGAAGTGCGAGAAGAAGGTTACTTCTCAGTTCCCACTTAGGCTGTGTTTATGTACCTGTGGTTGAAGGTCACGTGGGGAGTGCCATGTCATCTATGTGCACAGCCATATCCACCTGGGTATCTCCATAAGAGATCTCAGGAGCGTCTGGTGTGTAGGGTGTCACCCAGTGTCTCCAGGTCCA